TAACGAAAAATCACAATTTAACGGTTATATTAACTCCAATTTTGATGATTTTTTTTACAGCTACAGTCCTTAAGCCTACGTCACGCAAAGTTGGCAAAAAAAGGGTAAAGTATTCTTTGTTTGGTGCCAAGATCTTGCGCAACGTACAAAACGTCGCGCAAAAGGCATTTGCGCGACGAAACTTTGCGCGACTAAAGATGGTGCTGCGCAAAACACCTTCGCGCGACGCAGGAGCTGATGCGTCGTGCAAAGCTGTTTTGCGCGACGCCATCCTTAGTCGTGCAAAATTCCGTTGCGCAAATGCCATTTGCGCTATGTTTTGTGTTTTTGGTCGCGCAAACATACTTTGCGCGACAAAATTTTATCCGTCGCGCAAAATTCGGTCGCGCAAACATGTTTTTCTACTAGTGTTAAGTGGGGACAGTATCAGTGTTGTTGGAGTGGGCCCTCGACCCGTCGACCTGAAAATTTCTACAAAAGGCAGCTAAGGCCAAAATCCTCATCACCATTCCCATCCTACCAACTGCTAATCAACGAGAATAGTAAAATATTTCAGAAGATGAGCATTCTCAATTAGTGAAACAACAATCTAAATTGAGATTCACTACATCATTACTAGTATCATCTTTAATCGTAAAGTTCCAAATGATCTTACCAAATTATTTGCCATAATTTACCCTTGCTATAATTGTTATTCATCCAAGTAGGTCATTTTACACAACATTGATAAGGAGTTTAGAGAAGTTTTTCATGAGTTATACGAAATAGATGTCGATAATGGGGACATTTTTATTCTTATTGTTGTTGTGTCACCTGTTACAACTACTAACAGTAATTGTGAGAATTGTATTAATTCTGACTCTCTCACAAAACCTCCAAAATCATGTACGAATAGTTCTTTCAATCAAACTTCTTCTCAACCAAAAACAATCCTTAATACCCAGACCTAAATTTCTTTTTGGTGTTTTATTAGACATCACAAATGACGCCAGATTCTTGTTTATTCGATTTTTGGCTCAGTTGGATTTTAGCTTTCATCTTCAGCATGTCTGCTGATTTTTGAATTCCTTTAAAGAAACACACATTCATTAATTGTTTTTACTTCTTTTTAACACATAGAACATAACTTGCAAAAAATGAACCAAGAACAACGGATTTTACTTTTTGAGATTAGAGGTTGTGGTAGCAAAAATTTGTATATACAAAACATCGCTGTCTTCAGTTTTGATGAATTTGTATCTACAAAACAATTAATCGACACCTTTGATCAAACACCAAAGCCTCATGCGCCTATGAGGATGGGGGGTGGGGGGGGGGGGGGGGTTGGCCAATTGATCTCGATGCCAAAGTTAGTTTCTTTGAAAATAGTGAATGTTTAGAGCTTGTACGCATACCAAAAGATTACCAAAATTTGGTGAAGATTGAGGTATTTATAGGAGGAGGTGGCAGCCCATGGAGTTAGGGTTTTGCTCTACACATGGTGACATCTTATTGGTTAAGATGTGTCATCCGTCGGATGAATAATGAAAGAATACTCCCAAGATATTAATTAGGAGAAAATATATTGGGATGATAATGGTGGAAGTATCCCTAATTGATTGTGATAGGGATTTCTTACTTGATTAAGTTGATCTTCAATTGAGAATGTATTAAAGATAGGATTTAGTATTAACCCTATCTTTAGTACCATTGACTTTTTCATGTCATGAACATGGAAGCTTTGAGCAATCGTAGATAGCTTCTTGGACCTTTAGGAATGCTGAGCTGCGCATGGGAGCAGTTAAGGGTCCTGCCCATTTAATGAGGGCAATCTTGACTTTCTTGAAAAAAAAAGTCTACGTATCATCTTCTGGATTTCTGGGATTATTTTTGGCTTCACAAATGCCCCCACACCTGTTAGGCTGCAAGAAATCCTAAGCTTCTTAGATGTGCAGACAGTTGTTTCCAAATTTGATGTAGATTTTCCACTTTTTGGAAACAGAGTCTTCATGAGAAAGGGAAGCCAATTGCCACCAAGACTTATTTAAGCTTGTCTTAAGCAGAGGGCTAAATAAACCCAGAGAATAATTTTATCCCTAGTTTTCTTCTTTACTTGCCCATGCAAAGAGTTGATCGTCGTCGTTGTTTTTTTTCTCAGCACCTTACCAAGGTATGAAAAAGTTGAATTTGTTCTAATCCCTATTTTTCTAGGTAGTACTGTCACTGGGCAACTATTGGGGTGGTTGGCTCATTAGCTGGCAGAGGCCAAGATGACATGGTTTGGAGATAATGCTAGGCTAGTGCGGGCCTGGTACTTGCTCAGCTCTGGCCAAGGCTGGCATGGCTGGAAGCCGTGGAGCAGAAGTAGACGCGGCTATAGCCGCGAGAAAGGCGTGAGGCCATGCTAGTAAGTCTGTTGCCTACTAGTCCTTCAATCAAGAAAAGGTCAATGATTTTTTCTACTACTACTACCATGTTTGTGTTCTTTGCCAAGAAGGAAGAAATTGCTTGAGTTAGATTTCTCAACTACCATATATGGTGCAATTAAGGATGAAGCAGCCAAGATCGGAGTTGCTGATGATGAAGTGGTTGCTGAAGGCAGGATAGCTGTTAGAAAGCCAAAGATCATCCAAGCTGCTAAATGAGTACTCTGCTTTGTTTAGCTTATGTAGGAATTTGGCGACCTTCGTGCAAGTTTATCAATTTGCTAGAAACTTAATAAACTGTTTTCTTCGTTTTACTTCATCTTCGTTTTTCTTAAAACTTTGCTTGCTTAAAACATCTTGCAAAACTTTTAGTCATATGATCATCGGCTGGGTATGCTACTTTAAAAAAGAAAACGATTCCATGGAGTCATTATGGCTGTGAGTTTTAGGTTCTTAAGGTGTCGAGCTGCTGAACTTATCGTGAACTGCTTCCTCTTGACCATATATTGCTTAGTTGATCTTTGAATCTTTGATCCTTTGAGCTACATGGCCTGCATCAAAACATGATATATGTGGGATCAAAAATGTGTAGTTGTGTGAGAATTCATAGGCAAATCACTCTCTCTTGTTGAAAAGCAGACCTAGATGGGTGTCAGGGAATTGGTTTACCCTCTCACACTAGAGATCATACCCAGATTGGCATCGGGGAATCAGTTTGCCCTCTCGCACATAAAGGCATACCTAGATGGGTGTTAGGGAATTAGTTTACCTTCTCGCACTGGAGAGCTTATCTAGATGGGTGTCGGGGACCTAGTTTACCCTCTTACACAGGAAAGCTTACCCAGATGGGTGTCAGGGAATTAGTTTATCCGCTCGCACTGGAGAGTTTACCCAGATGGGTGTTGGGGAATTAGTTTATTATCTTGCATTGGAAAGCAGACCTAAAAGGGGTGGTGGGGGATTAGTTTACCTTCTCACACTAGAGAGCTTGCGGAGATGGGTGTCGGGGAACTAGTTTACCCTCTCAAACTAGAGAGTATGCCAGATGGTGTCAAAGAATTAGTTTACGCTTTCCCACTAGAGAGCATGGAAGTTGTTAGTGCAGTTGAGGAAAGCTGAACTGCTGGACAATTGAAATAATCCTCAGCTTGTGAGGTCTTGTTTAGCAATCTACTTGAGACTTCAAACTGCTAGTGAATCCTTGTAAGGGTGTAAGTAGGGAGCGCAATGAGTTGCTTTTGGACCTTCCCCAAGTATTGTGCCATGCTTGGATATTTCGTTGTGCGCTCTCTTCAGGCTTGTTTGGTGGTCATCTGAGAATTTGAACAGATTGCAAGCTTATTCATTGTTAAGTCTTTCGCTAGCTGATGGGCTGCTGGTTAGAGCTTCGTATTCTGCTTCGTCATTGAATGGTTATATATATATAAACTTAAGTTTCATCTCAAAGCCTTCATTACTTCATAATGCCCGATAGTGTGATACTCAGGTTCAATATACGAGTCTGAAAATACATGAATCTGTAATAAGGAATCTATCACCTTCTAGTAATTGTTGAATAGAATGAGATATCCCTTGAAGCCACTTGAAGATCCATCTCAGAAATCTTCGGCAAAAGTATATGTTGATCAAGCTATGTTTGTAAGAACTGCTTCAACAGGGGATGCATCATGTTGATTATGGATGACTACATGTGATTTGACATAAATCTTGATCGAGATATGGATGATAGAAGAACCAAATTGTAGGTAACTACAATCAAAGTTCGAAAGAGTATCGCGATTAGTTTGTGTATCCTTCTACTAATCCAGGTAGCCATGACATGATACTAGGTAACATTCATGGCTTGTGGATTGCAAGAAAGAAAAAGAATTTTTTGAGGCAGGATTAATTCATTAATTAATTTCACCGTTGGCTTTAGTTATAACCTAAAATGTCACACACAAATGATAAGTTGTAGTGACGTTATATGGACAATGATAAGATATAATTAATTGTTAATTATATTGGATTAGTTATTTGGGCTTACTGGACATAATTTTAAGTAAAATAGCTTTGGGCTTTATTTAACTAAAAGGGTACAAGTCACTAGCCCAAGTGAGGAAGTGAAATTAGGCTACGCATGGGTCAAGCCTATGGCGTCAAAACCCTAGGGGAGGTATGGCATAAAAGGGTAAGGAGTCTATATAAATGCCTCTTGTGTTTGCTCTCAAACCCTAAGAATATTTAGTTTTGTCCCTCAGAGAAAAGAGAAAAATAACCCATGCTAAATATACATTGTGTGCCACTTATTCTATATAGATCCAAGTGAGAGATATTGCTAGCACCTTTAAATCAATCACTTCATCGTTTGTTGCTAGATTATCAGTGTGGATACTCTTAGAGGCTCAACACTTGAGGAGCTTCACGTGATCAATCATTAAGAAGAAGATTGAAAGCATGATGATCCAGTCAAAGGAAATGCACATGGCTAGAAATTCATGTAAGTTAATCTCTTCAATTTTTTCTTTATTGCATTGATTAATTACAACCAACTAGGTATATAATCGAGATATCACACTGTATGTTTTTATCATTTTTTTCCTTTGCGTATTTTATTATTCGAACTAAATTAATCCCAATAATAAGCCTGGAAGTGGAAACCCAACAATCCACGCCTCCACAAGGCATAACTCCTCCGCCTTCTAACTTACCCATTAATTCTTCCTCCAGGTCTACAACTCCTGCCCCCTTTCACGGCGACCCGTCGACCCTCCTTCCGCTACACCCAATCACACTACCCCACTTTCACCCACACCTCCGCCTCCAACAAAATGCTCGTCGTGATCGGCAAGTCCAGGAACATTCAGCTCTTATAGGACACCCTCCATGAGATGGGTCATCGTCGTTTGGTAAATTGCAAGATATTTGTTATTGTTCTGGGATGCTGGACAAGCCCTGGGAGTTGAGAAGGTGTGTGAATTTCTTTCATTTTATGAATTGGTTTAGATTTGGGTACGATATTGGGAATTTAAATATGGTGGTTGAGGATTTATGCAGGTCGAAGCTCATCGTTTAGCCAATTTTTGGTTTTTAAGCTGAAGGAATCGATTCGGCCCTATAGGTTTACTTACAAGTGTTTGATTCAAGGTTTCTGCAATGTGGGTGATTTGATTGAGGCTTCAAAGATTTGGAATTTGATGGCGGATGCTGGGTTCTAACTGGATATCGATGTCGTTGAGAAGATGATGAAACCATTTTCAAGACGAATTGATATGTCCGGGCTAGAACGTCATCGCCATGGTCCGGGCTAAGGACCATTTATTTATGTTTTTGGATCGGCCATGCCCCGCCAACTTCGTCGACCTGTCCAGTGCGAAACCGATTATACCTGCCCTGACCCGCCGGTCCAAGGTCGTTTGCCTAACCCTACATTATACTCAAGATGCTGAAAGAAATATTACAGAAACCATTTTTTTCATTCCTCTCTCTAGTTTCTCTCTCTGGATTCCTCCTCCATACCATATCTGACGTCGTCTGCCTTTTTTATTAAGAAGGAAGATCCCATAGTATCATACTTTCGTCCGATCATACATAAGTTTTGCAACTGGTCATTTATCACAGTGGGGGAAATAAATTGAGCTCTAGTAAGACGGTGCGGGTTCGAACTTCGTCGGTGGCTAATCTCACATCTACTCTAATAAAAATCTATCATTTGACCCAAAAAAAAAAATAAAAAAATCATACATAAGTTTTAAATCGACATATCATAAGAAGAAGTATTACAAAACCAAATATAGGTATTTTCTTTGTAATGTCCCATGTTAGTTAACTCATCATTAGAAAATTGTAATAAAACGATGACTTCAATTACTCCATCGAAGGCAGATTAGAAATTTTTTAATGTAAAAAAGCACCCGATCAAATTTGCATTGTGATTAAATAAAATTGTCTTCTTTGTCGGTAATAAAATACGCTACAGGATTCCCATTGCCTTGAACATTGGTCTGGACATTCTTACGTATATTTGCGTCTCACTTTCTGTAACGTACACAGACACACACATGTACATAACAGACATAAGGTTTACAAATAATTCCTCTATCTAACTTGGAAGTTGAGTGTCCTAATGCAGTAGGCAAACATGAAGGCAAAGAAGATTGTGAATCCAACTAGAACTCCAGCCACTGGTCCCATAAAATTTGGATCATATCCGAAATGGTCTTCTATGTACCATTTTATAGTTGGGTTAGGTGAAATACCAGGTGCTCTAATGGTTTCCTCAACATCGCCATACTGTGACACAATCAATCCATACACCGTCCATGCCAAGGGACATATCCAGTAATACCAAACCCACCATTTGGGTATTTTCTGAATATTCAAAAGATAAAAATTCGTGTTAACATGTGTTTTTAACGACTTTTAATCACTTGATCATCACTGGGGAAGAAAATCCACTGTCACAAATTGTTAGATCAAAATCCAATAGTTGAGATCTAAACTCGATTTAGAACACTTAACCATTGGACTTTAATCAGTTGGAAAATGCTCATCGTGGATTTTGGTGATCAATGCAGACCAATCACAATATCTGTTGTATTCAATTTATATTAATAAAGTTCTTATGGGAAGAAGAATGCTAGTACTTACTGGTCTTGGAATGAAGAAACCGGAGAAGAGGTTGAAGACTGAATAGAAAGCTGCGGCGAATATGGCTGCTACTTGGTGGTTTGGCGTGATGGAAACGGTCATCATGCCGTAGTATGTGAAGTAAAGGAAGGAGAAGAAGTTGATAAAGAAGAACCAGAAGAATTTTTCTACTTTCCATTGGAAGCTCACCATAGCATACACTATCAGTGTATAATACGTGGTCTGAATAAACACATACGGTATTTCCACAATGACCTGCATGTCAAACAAATGGTTTATTTGAGTCAGTTAGATTAAGGTGGACAGTTTTGTATATAACAAAAAAAATTGGATTTATAATAGTGTTATATCTGAAATTAGGATTTGATACTAAGTTCAAATGTGAGTTAATGTAAGCATTTTTCTGCCACTCACCTGTGCCAGTGCATAAGGTAATGCAGAGTACATCCCAGCAGCTCGTTCTCGATAGAAAACAGTTCTTTCAATGGCGACAATTGGCTGCACAGTTGCGCAGTTATCAATTCCGACGAAAAGCACAGCAGCGTACATAGCCCCGATAATCATGGTCAGATCAGAACTGCTTTCCCTGGATATGAAAAAAAAATATATATAATCAGCCAAGTAATTCGTGTATGGAAACTCATGAACAAAAAATTTGTAGTAAAAAAAAAAAAACACGAGTACTGTAGTTGAGGTTTGAAACAGTTAAGCTTTGAGATAAGCACACACCTCTTAGTGCCAACCTTCCAGAAAATAGTTCCAAGGAGGAGGGCAGCTGCCAAGGTAAAAAAGAATCTGACAAGATTATAATCAGGACTTCTCCAATATGTCCACCACTGCTTCCAGAGGCAAGATTGGAATTGCTTCCATGACGATTGAGAAAACTGAGTCGGAAAATAGAGGTCTTTTGCTCCTGCTGGTGGGACGCTCAACTCCTTTACTAAAGCTTTGTTTCTCCTGGTCATTAATATTGGAATTTAAGTTTTATATTTTCCAAAAACCAGCCAAACTCTGAACCCTGCAAATAGTATTATGTACTACTTTTTTTTTTTTTTTGACTTACTGGTACAAGGCAGATGATTTGTAGTATTGAGCAAAGTCCATTCCAAGACGGACCTCAGTTGAGATTGAGCTCACCTCGAGCATCCACGTTGCTGGGTTATACTTCTCTTTGATTTTTGTCACGCCAGGAACTGCCTGGAATAGGTCATAAGTACAGACTTAGATGACAATGCATTTGATTATTTCTTTGTGCAAAATTAAGATAGGAAAAAGTTTAAGCAGGTAAAATACCTCGAAGTATTCAACAATCTTGTGAGAGTTGCGGCCTAGTGGTCCTGAGTAGATAACTTGTCCTCCTCTCTTCATCAGTAGCAGCTCATCAAATGCCTCAAAGATATCTATGCTGGGCTGATGAATTGTGCATACAACTGTTCTCCCAGTGTCCACAGTATTTCTAACAGTCCTCATAACAATGGCAGCTGCCCTTGCATCAAGACCTGATGTGGGTTCATCCATGAAAATGATTGAGGGATTGGCAACTAGTTCAACTGCAATCGTTAACCTCTTTCTTTGTTCTGTTGACAGTCCTGAAACTCCAGGAAGTCCTACTAAAGCATCCTTGAGATTGTCTAGCTCAACCAATTCCATCACTTGATCAACAAAAATCTGCAAACATATATAGAATATGTAGTTTCAGCATTTAAATAATTGTGCTATCCATTGTTTAGAGAAGTAATGAAAGTCGCAGTTTTACCATCTTTTCCTCGTTGCTAACTTCTTTAGGGAGTCTAAGGAAAGCTGAATAGATCAATGATTCTTTGACAGTGACTTGGGGTGAGTGGATATCAGTTTGTTCGCAATAACCAGAAATTCTTGCAAAGGTTTCTTGCTTCTTAGGGTACCCAGAAATTCTAATGTCACCTTCAATATAACCTCCAGTCTTCCTTCCTGCTAAGACATCCATCAAAGTTGTCTTCCCAGCCCCACTGACCCCCATTAAGGCAGTCAAGACCCCAGGCCTAAATGCACCAGTTACTTCACGGAGTAGTTGCAGCCGGTCCCCTGCTACTCCTTCTTCCTTCATTTCCTGTTATAGTAGACTAAGTTAGCTAATTAATTAGTGAAATTGGACTATAAGATAATGTTTCAGGTTAACAAAGAGTGAAATAGACAGAAATATTACAGCAGGCATATCCACGTAATAGTTAACATCGTTGAAGGACATTGCAAGAGGAGTGAAAGGTAGAACCATTCCTCTTTTAGGGGCAACACCACTGGCAACTTCGAGAGACGAATCAGGATTTCTACTTAGTCCGGTAGAGCTGGATCGACTGCCCATTCGCCGGACTTCCATTTCTCCTAAGAAAATTTTAATCCAATAAACAACTTGGATAACAATATTGTTCACATTACAATTGACAAAAATATTCGGTTTCTTACTTGAGTTGTTTCCATCATTAGAAGATAATGATCGAGACTGAAAATCTTTCTTGGATGGGGGCCTTCTAAGTCTTGGCTCTTCCTTTGATTCTTCTTGGTCTACCTCCATCTTGTTTGCTGCTTCTTCAGATATGATGGCTTGTGGCTTTCCAGGAGCTAATTATTGAAATAAAATCATGAAAATTTGTCACTTAAAATCTACAAACGAAAGAAAAATTGGATGTTAGATATGAAAAGGAATGTTGACTCTTACCATTTAGGTACATAAGGGCGAGCGTATAAAGCACGTTGAAGAGAACTGCAAACCCCAGAAGAGCTGCAGAGCCAATCCAAAACCAGTTTTTGTTGCGGTAAACATCAAAGTTTTTAAGCACTGCCTCACCCACACTGGTAATATTATCTGAAGACTATAACAAAAGGAAGTTCATTTCAGAAGTTTAGCCTTTTTGTTAAGTTAAACAAATGTAGGTACATTAATATAACAAAATGAATGGTTTGTGCAAGCAAGATCTTAAGTTTAGCATACCAGTTTGTTCGACCACCTCGGAGAATACATTTCATTTACAGCGATTGCATTGAAGCCATATGTCATAGGTGAAACCCAGTATCCCCACACCCACCAGTTTGGAATTTGACCTATCACAAATGAAGCAACTCATTGATGATCCAGTAAAGAACTAATTTGGTCTCTTTTCGTTAGTTTTTTACTATTTTTTGAAAACTTCATCCGAAATTGAGTTTCATACTAACCATGAGGAATAATGAAACCTCCAAGCATGAAAACAATTAGAACAGTTAGAGCCCCGCCGGTGTTTGATATGATGATGCTCCTGCTAACTCCAGCTATAAGCCTAAATAGCGCAGCTGCCATTTGTTGGATCAGAAATACCAACAATAGTTGCTTGAAAAACCTGCAAATAATTTGACAGTTGCAGTTAATATCTCAACCACAAGCAACTTCAACCCACATATGCTAGGTTCTTACAGAAAATAAGCCAAAAATATATTATATTGCAGTTTATATTAATGTACCCATGTGTATGTTTATAACAATGTACCCAATCAAAGTAAAAAGAATTTTGCCTAGGTAGCTACTCAAAATAACATAAAATAGTTTACTTAATGAAAGGACCAACATAAAGATTCAATCGAACATTTGGTTTGATGAAAACAATCTTTTGAATGACAGAAATCTAACTTACGAACAAAAAATCGAAATGAAATTAAGCAGACAAATGTGTCGTACCTGCTAGCTTCAGGTGCAAATCCGATGGTGTAATATGTAATGGCCATAAAAATAGTAGTTTCCATGATGGATATAGGAATCCCAAGCAGGACAGATGGGAGAGTGAAAGTCCAAGCAGGGTGGAAAAGAAGGTCTCTGTG